TATTTGCTTTGCAAAGACTTTTCATATCTGTGATTTTAATAGCTCTTCCAATATTTGATCACAGAGTATAGAGCTCACTTTTGAATTCTGATGTGCTTGAAATATGCTTTGTTCACAATAGGTGCTCAATAAGTAATTTTTTTTTAAATTTGAGTATATTTGACACACTATGTTACATTAGTTTCAGGTGTACAACTTAGTGATCTGACAAGTTTATACACTGTGTTATGTTCACAAGTGTAGCTACCATCTGCCCCATTACATCAGTATTACAGCATCACTGACTCTATTCCTTATGCTTTTTATTCCTGTGACTTGTTCATTCCCTAACAGGAGGCCTGTATCTCCCACTGCCCTTTACCCTTTTTGCCCAACCCCCCTACCCACCTCCCCTCTAGTAACCATCAGTTTGTTCTCTGTATTTATAGGTCTATTTATGCTTTTTGTTTATTCAATTTTTTAAGATTCCATTTATGAGTAGAAACATATGATATTTGTCTTTCTTAGTCTGAGGAGTATTTCACTTAGTATAATACCCTCTAGGTCCATCCATGTTGTCTCAAATGGCACAATCACAATACATGACTATGTAATATTCTGGTGTGTGTGTGTGTGTGTGTGTGTGTGTGACATTTTTCCTTATACATTCGTCTATTGATGGACACTTAGGTTGCTTTTATGTCTTAGCGGTTATAAATAATGCTGCAGTAAACACAGTGATGCCTGTATCTTTTCAAGTTAGTGCCTTTATTGTCATAATGCCCAATAGTGGAATTATTGAATCATAGGGTATTTCTATTTTTAATTTTTTTGAGGACCCTTCCATACTATTTTCCACAGTAGCTGCACCAGTTTACATTCTTACCAACAGTGCACGAAGGTTCCATTTTCTCCACATCCACACTTGTTGTTTCTTGTCTTTTTTATTTTAGCCATTCTAACAGGTACCAATAAGTATTTTTTTAAAAGATTTTGCTTATTTATTCATGAGAGACACAGAGAAAGAGAGGCAGAGACATAGGCAGAGAGAGAAGCAGGCTCCATGCCGGGAGCTTGACGTGGGACTTGATCTCCGGTCCCCAGGATCACGCTCTGGGCCGAAGGCAGGCGCTCAACCGCTGAGCCGCCCAGGCATCCCTCAATAACTATTTTTAATTTTTTTAAACAAGATAGAGAAGAGGGAAGAGAAATGAAGATGTTTGGGGGGCTGGCTACTTGCTGGTACTTTATATCCCATGTCACACTTAATCTTTACAACAATCCTGTTTAGTAGTGTAGTGAACACTGCAGATGCTTCCTCTAAATCTACTCCATGGAGAAATTCTCATCCCAGAGGCAGAAGGGGCTTCTTGACCAATTGTCATGACTGTCGTCTCTTCATCTAGAAGAAAGATAGCCTTGATAAATTCTCACCAGGGAAGATGGTGGCACAGGCTTAGCCTGTTCCATTCCAAGGATGTGAGGGCTTCATTCAGTGGTTCCAGAAACCAAAATCACAATGGCTTAAAAAACATTTTTTTTCATGTAACAAGGAATCCAAAGTAGAAAATCCAAGGTTCATGCAACTGCTCAGGAAACAAGACACCTTTTCTCTCCTCCTGCCATCTGTAGTGAAAGGCCTTCTTCCGTGGTCACAGAATGTTTATTGTACCACTGGGCAGCATCTCCACAGTGCAGACAGGAAGAAAGACAAAGGACAAAAGAGACATGTCTAGGGGTGTCCGGCTGGCTCAGGTGGTAGAGCATGTGAGTCTTGATCTTGGGTTGTAAGTTCAAGCCCCACATTGGACTGAGAGCTTAACAAAACAAAAAGGTTCATGTCTATTAAGTTTGCCCCTTTTCATTTTAATCAGAAAAACAATAACTTTCCTAAAAGCCCTACCCATTAGATTTCTGCCTATATCTAGACGACCAGAACTGTGTCAAAACCCCATCTGCAGAGGAGTCTGGAAAGCAGAGTTCTTTAACTGGGCACACCATTACCCTGAACAAACTTGGGATATGTGTGTAGGAAAGATGAAGCAGAAAGTAGAAATTGGAAAGGCAATCAGCATGGTCTGCCTCTGGATATACCAAGCATGAAATCTTTTTCAAAATCTTTTTATTAAAAAAAATTTTATCTGGCTCTCCACCATTAATTGTACATGCTTGTTACTTGGGTTACTTTGTGATATTTCCACTGGCTAACAGAGAAAACCATAAATTCTCTATGCCCCAAATAGGAAAGGAAATGTTGCCATTGGATGTGACCATGTGGATCAAATACCTCAGATTAAAAAGAAGAGAGATATTGTCTTGTGTCCTTGGATCTGGACCACAGCAAAAGCTTTCTGTCACCCTGCTAAAAAGAGAGATTGTTATAGCTTCTTCACTGTTCATATTTAATTTCAGACCTCAGGGCTAGAGAGTTGAGTTCTTCATACTCTTCATAGTTTATGGTGTATTATAACCACTAGTCTGCCAAAAATTCTGCCAATAACTGATGTGCTGTAGGGCAGCCTGCGTGGCTCAGCGTTTAGCGCCGCCTTCAGCCCAGGGCGTGATCCTGGAGACCCGGGATCGAGTCCCACGTCGGGCTCCCTGCATGGAGCCTGCTCCTCCCTCTGCCTGTGTCTCTGCCTCTCTCTCTGTGTGTGTCTTTCATGAATAAATAAATAAAATCTTAAAAAAAAACAAACCTTATGTGCTGTAAAAAAAAAGAGCCTCATTCTCTACTCTCCTCCTTCTATAGGCAACTATTATGATGTGTTTAATGTATAGTTTGCCTTTTTTGTAAATGTTCCTGCATAAAGTGCATTGGGGGATATACATTTATGTATTTATGTATTTATTTTAAGATTTTACTTTTAAGTAATTCCTACACCTAACATGGGGCTCAAACTCACAACTCCAAGATCAAGAGTTGCATGTTTCACTGACTGAGACATTGACTGGGCATATACTTTTAATTTGAGTTTAATTTGAACTGATATTGAGTTACATGCCTCATTCTGTTCTGTTCTTTTCTCAGGCAGCATTGGGTTTTTAGGATCCATCCACATTGCTTTTTTGTGCATCTAACCCAATGCTTCTTATCACTACATTATATCTCACCGTGTGTATTCACCACTTTTCATCCATACATTTTGTGATTGGCTGAATTGTGTTCCCCTAAAATTCATATATTGAAGCCCAACCCCAGTACGCGAGAATGTAATCATATTTGGAGATAGGACCTTTAAAGAGGTAATTGAAGTTAAATCTGGTCATAAATGGATGACCTCTGATTTACATGATTGTATTTGGAAATAGGACCTTCAAAGAGATGATTAAATTCAACGGAGGCTGTTAGGTGGGGCTCTAATCCAATATGACTGGTGTCCTTACAGAAGAGAGACACACCAAGGATATGTGTGCACAGAGAAAAGCCATGTGAGGACACAGAAGGAAGGTGGCAAGCCAAGAAATGTGGGCTCAGAAGAAGCTACACTTGCCAACACTTTGATCTTGGAGCTCTAGCCTCCATAACCATGAAAAAAACTGAAATTTCTTTGTTTAAGCTACCCTTAGGTATTTTGTTATGGCAGCCCTAACAAGCCAATATACACTCTCAGAGACACCCAGATTTCTTTCAACTCTTCTGTTGAAAACTCTTCAAGCCAAGAAACAAACCAGCTTTCCTGCAAAACTGACAATACTGTAGAACTAACATCTGATTATTACGTAATGCTATTTTATGTTGAAAACTGGGAAGTCTGCCTCTTGGAGTTCTGAATCTTTCACGCGGTGCCTTGTTAAGCCCAGCAGAGAGAAGGAAGGAATCCTATCGCTGATGACACCTGACTGGTCTAGGTAACCCAGGCTCACACTGTTCAGTCTGCAAGTGGTCTGAGGTTGGTTTAGAGACATTTCAACCAATGAGAGGAAGAAGACTCTTGCTAGGAATTTTGTAACATGGTTATTTTTCTTTCCCTTAGGTTAGTAGAGCTTCTGCAGCCATTGCGTCACCAGGAGGGAAGCAAGCCTTAGGATTCTGCTGATACCACAGAAAGTAGTGTGTAAGGATGAAATATGCCAAATCATGATTCAGACACACCCTGAAGCCCATCCTACTTCTGGACTTTCCAGTCACGTGAGCCAGTAAATCTCTCTTATTTTTTAAGCCAATAGGAGTGATCTGTAACTTGCAAAACAACAACAACAAATTTTCTAAATAATACAGGTAGGTGCAAGGGTACAAATATGAATAAAGTCGGATCTCATCCCTTGGGGGGCACTGATCAGAGGAGCAAAAAAGTGAATACGACAATAACAAGTTCTGATGTTGGCTTTAGGTAACAGAAACGCACAGAGATTAATGGCAGGAATGTAAATTGCTGCTATATTTTTGGAAAACAATGTGGTAATATACTAGGCTTATTAGCCCCAGGCTGGAATGGAGCTCAGTGCAAAGTCGGCTTGAGATTCTTTGCCCTCTGCCCTTCTCTCTCTCTCTCTCTCTCTCTCTAACAAATTAATAAAAAGTAGAAAGCTCCGCACTGTGACCCTGTGTTTGTCTCCTCCCCGCCCGAGCAGGGAAGTCTTGGCTGGTTCTCTCGCACAGCAGCTTTGCCCCGGGGTCCCAGTTAGGAAGCTGGTGCAGGTACAGCTCCACCGGGCGGGGCTCCGGGGGAGGCCTGTGCTCTGGGACGCAGCCCCTCCACACACACACGCACACACATGCACACACACACACATGCACACACGCGCACACACACACGCACACACACGCGCACACACGCACGCACACACATGCACACGCGCACACACACGCACACACATGCACACACGCGCGCACACACGCACACACATGCACACACGCACACACATGCACACACGCGCACACACACATGCACACACACATGCACACACGCGCACACACACACGCACACACACACACACACATGCACACACGCGCGCACACCGCGATTTACCCGCCCCGGGAGGAGCAGCACCGCCCCCGGGAAGCCCCACCCCCGGGGCGGCCACACGTCCAGGCGCTGGGCGCCGGGCTGCAGAGCGCCGACCTCCTGCCGGGTCTCGGGACGCGGAGCTGCGGACTCCGGGGTACACGGCCCCGCCCCGCTATTTTTCTCGCCGAGTTTCCAGAGCTGCGGACCGTTCGCGCGTCGCTCCCCCGCTGCTCCCGCCTAGTAACTGGCGAGTCCTGCGCCGCGAGCAGAGTGGGAGCGAGGCCCTGCGTGTTCCCGGAGAGGTGAGACGCGCCTGCACGGACGGACGGACGGACCGGACCGACGGGGCCTGCCTGCGAGCCGGGGGCGGCGGCGGCCCGGGAACCTCGGCGCCTGCGGAGCGGGGACGCGAGGAAGGAGGAGGGTGGGGTTGGAATGCGGTTAGCGGGCACGATGGGGGCAGGGCGGGGGGAGGGCCCGGGGGGTGCGGGGCGGGGGGGAAGGGCACGGGTGGGTGCAAGGCAGGGGGCCCGGGGGGCATGGACGGGTGCGGGGTGGGGGGGGCCCGGGGGGCGCGCACGGACGGGTGCGGGGCGGGGGGAGGGCCCGGGGGGTGCGGGGCGGGGGGGAAGGGCACGGGTGGGTGCAAGGCAGGGGGCCCGGGGGGCATGGACGGGTGCGGGGTGGGGGGGGCCCGGGGGGCGGACACGGACGGGTGCGGGGGTGGCCCCGGGGACCCTGCGCCCGACCCCTTGGGCTGGCGGGTGGGACTCGCCCCGAACTTGGTCCGCTCCGGGGGCTCCCGGACCCGCAGCGAGGCCACCCGTCCCCAGGGGCTGCCTCTGCGGGAAAGGAGGCAAGTGGAAGAGCCGGGCTGCGGCTCCCCGCCCCGCGACCGCCCCGGCAACGCCAAAGGCCCGGGCGCCGCCCCCGCCCCCACGGGGGTCGCGCCTCGGTGCGTGTCGGGCCCAGAGACACAACGAAGCCAACGAATAGGAAAAGGAAGGGTTTCACTTGCAAGAGTAAAGGAGAACAGCAGGGCTGCTTCGCCAAGCCGTGTCACCCGGAAAAGCAAAGTTGGGGAGGTTCTAAGCCAAGGGTGCCTGCGTATTCATGCGGGGACTGGGCGGAAAAGAGTGTTCCGGGGACGCCCGGGGGGCTCAGGTGGCCCAGGGCGTGACCCCGGGGTCCCGGGATCGAGTCCCGCGTCGGGCTCCCTGCAGGGAGCCTGCTTCTCCCTCGGCCTGTGTCTCTGCCTCTTGCTCCCTCTGTTTCTCATGAATAAATAAATAAAATCTTAGAAAAAAGAAAGAAAGTTCCGCGTGGGGCGGGGGCGAAGGCGCCCTAGGTGGGCGGAGCCCGGGTGCGGGTTGATGGAGGCCTCGCGGGCCTGCCCGGGGTCACCCTCCGACTCCAGTCTGCGGGTCCGACTCCAGCCCGCGAGCGGCGGAGGGCAGCCTTCGCCTTGACCCAGCGACGTTGGGAAGCAAAGGAGTCTGGTCACCGATTCGTGGCCTCTGATTTGGTTGGGCTGTGCCCAGGCCAGGTAAGGTAAGGTGAGTTCTTGCATTCCCTTTCTTTCCAGAAAATCCTGAACGACGGAGGTTTCTTGCATTCCTTTGTGAATCTAACACCTCCTAGGAAGCTCTTGCGGCGGAGGGCTAGGGTAAGTAGAGTCAGCAGGGCAAGGTGCCAAGCATAGCCGGAGGCCTAGACTGAACTTCTCTCCTGTGGCGGGAAAGCTGTGTCCGGTTTCCTTTCCCGGGGACCCCCCCCCTCCCTCTTTGCAGCTTACACTGCCCGCGAGCGCAGGCCTGGGGGCGGGGGGGGGGGCGCAGGTGCTGCGGGGCAGGTGGGTCCCAGCAAAGTGTCCTGCTCGCCCAGCTCAGGGCGGCCTGAATCATCTCTTGGTTTCCTGCGGAGGCAAGTTTAAACCCTGGATTTCCCTTTTGGTGCCAAAGTAAACTCGCCCCCGGGCGGAGCAGCAGCGCCCCGCGGTGGTGTTCGGGAGGATCAGACTGTCTGTCGGCCTTAGAAACTTGCTCCCTCCGTCTCACCGGGGAGCATGGACCTCTCTTAGGTTCTTTGTGTTTGAGTCTCAGGATTCGTTTTATGTGAGGTGAGGAACAGAACGTTTGCACACCAGGTAGTTGTCCAGGGCCCTCGTGAAACCCAAGAGGTGGCTGGGAAGAATTTCTTTTTCTCTTCCTTTCATTTCTTTTCCTTTCATTTCTTTTCTTTTCTTTTCTTTTCTTTTCTTTTCTTTTCTTTCTTTCTTTCCTTTTCTTTCTTTCTTTCTTTCTTTCTTTCTTTCTTTCTTTCTTTCTTTCTTTCTTTCTTTCTCTTTCTTTCTTCATGAGAGACACACACACAGAGAGAGAGAAGCAGAGACACAGGCAGAGGGAGAAGCAGGCTCCTTGTGGAGAGCCTGATGTGGTTGGGACCTGACCACCTGAGTCAAAGACAGAGGCTCAACCACTGAGCCATCAGGCATCCCAGCTGGGAAGAATTTCTGTGTTGGCTAACATTTTTCCTTGGAAATTTCTGGGGAAGCCTCGGTTTCCTCATTTGTACCCTGGCAATGATAAGAATGCCTATCTTAAAGGGAATTTATGAAGATAAAATGAGATGATGAGTGTGAAGTGCTTAGCACAGGAATAGAAATGCAATAAATACTTAATAAATGTGGTTGGTGTCAAGTGATAATGAAGAGAAGTAGATGATGAGTAGACCCTGCCATCTGGCTTCAAGGCCGTGGCTAGGAAGTCTTAATAATCCAGTCACATCAGGCAGCCCAAGTGACTCAGCGGTTTAGCACCGCCTTCGGCCCAGGGCATTATCCTGGAGACCCAGGATCGAGTCCCACGTCGGGCTCCTTGCATGGAGCCTGCTTCTCCCTTTGCCTCTCTCTCTCTCTCTCTCTCTCTCTCTCCCCCCCCCCCCCCGTGTCTCTCATGAATAAATAAATAAAATCTTAAAAAAAAAACGCAGTCACATCATGGCAGTTGACTACATGCTTACTGTGTTCCAGGAACTTCAAGATGGTTCATGCTAAGAGCTGGACTCTGAAGAAGCACTTTGAAGGCAGCCCTACTCATAGTAACTTTGAGTTAAAGACGGTTGAACTCCCGTCCTTAAAAAATGGAGGTAAGTCATAAGATTTGAGCTGGAAAAGACTTTCAGTTAGCCTTTGCTGCATAACAAACTACCTCAAAATTTAGTGACAACAGGATATCTAATCTCAGGGTGGACCTCACTTATCTGTCTGGTGGTTAGCAAGCTTTCTGCAGAGGTGCCGGCCTCAGTCCTGCTAGTTTCTAGTAGGCTGTGAGCTCTTTGTCTTCACAGTGTTGGCAAGTACCTTTCAAGCCTCTCCTTATACCATGTTGGCTAATACGCGAAGCACGTCGCACAGCCGAGTCCCAATTCAAGGAGTGACACATAGACTTCTTGATGGGAGGAGTGGCGAGGAGGCCCCACACAGCAATTGGAGCAATTTTGCACTCTATCACAGAGACTTTTAAAGGTTTTCTGGGTGAAGCCTTGAGGTCATGTGGGAGGATCCCTCTAATTTCCTTCATCATTGAAAAGGTACATTGTTCATGACTTTGAGCAAACCTTGGGGAGGATTTCCTCTCGGTCCTGGCAAGCCTGATGATTGGGTGAGCGAGTGGGGTAAGCAGGGCGTGGCAACCATGTGCAGAGCTCAGACTTATCCTGTGCACAGACAGGAGAGAAAAACTCTCCTCCTTCATTGAGGAGTCTCCCATCCCATTGGGGGAAGTGGAAGGACAAAGGGAGAGAAACAGCAGCACATTCTGTAATGTGTTTGGAGATTAGCCTTGTAGAGAGACAGCAAGGGGTGTTTGCAGGCAGGTAGGCAGGCTTTGAGGAAGGCACACACAATCAAATAGCACGCCAAAGTTCAGTCCCATCGAAGTTGGGATAGATGGCCAGGACTCAGATTCAGAATTCCAGAGAATGTGCATGAGGGTCACTCCAGCAAAATGTATATTCTTTAATCCTAATGGGGGCTGTCAGTGAAACCTCATAGGAGCGCTGCAACCTAGTGCAAATGATAATGAAGAGAAGTGTTAAATGATAATGCAGAGAAGTTCATGATGACTAGACCCTGCCATCTGGCTTCAAGGCTGAGGCTAGGAAGTCATAATAATCCAGTCACGTCATGGCAGTTGACTACATGCTTACTGTGTAAGCATGCAGGTTCCTTAACCTAAGCCTGAATAAAACAAAACTATAATAGCTGGGAATCTCCTGGAAAATAACCCATGTAAAGCATGGAGTGAGTGCTAAGTAAATAATAGGATGATGATAATGATCTGGGCTGGCACCCTCTCGTCTCTTCAACAGCAAGCACAGATGGAAGAAGGGCAACCCTGCAGCGGAAGGATGATCTGTGTTTATTTAGAATGCCAAAGTCAAGGAAGGCATCAAGCCTTGAGTCTCTCTCTTTTTTTTTAAAGATTTTATTTATTTATTCATGAGAGACACACACACAGAGGCAGAGACACAGGCAGAGGGAGAAGCAGGCTCCCCACAAGGAGCCCCATGTGGGACTTGATCCCAGGACCCCAGGATCATGACCTGAACCAAAGGCAGACGCTCAACCACTGAGCCACCCAGGTGCCCTGAGCCTTGAGTTGCTAATTGCCTGTGGAATGCTTTATTTTATAGAGGTCCTGCTGGAAGCTTTGTTCCTTACCGTGGATCCTTACATGAGGTATGATTTTTCCTCCTAAAAATTCATGTGTTGTGTTTTGGACCCTGTTTTGAAATAGTCCATCTTTTAAAATATCCAACTGATTGTCATTTCCCCCTGTTGTCCCAGTATGATTCAACGATAGGATTCATGGATGTTCATCTTTGCCAGCAAAAAGATGTCTTTTTGGGATTTTATGGAGGCTTATCACATAGGCATGGTTGGTTAAATCATTGACCATTGGCAACTGAGTAAGCCTCCAGCCCTCCCCTACTTCCCGGAGGTCTGGGGAAGGGGCAGTGAGAATTACAGCCCCTCTAATCTGGAGTTCTAGTTGGCTTCTGGCAACCATCCCCCCCTCCTTAGGTGCTTCGCAAAAGTCACCTCGTTAACATAAAAAAAGATAACTTTATCAACCTCATCACTTAGGAAATCCCAGGAGTTTTAGGAGCTTTCTGCCAAAAATAGGATATAGACAGACTATATTAATTCTTACTCTAAATCACAGTATCTCCAGGATCACGCCCTGGGCTGAAGGCGACGCTAAACCGCTGAGCCACCCAAGCTGCCCTGGGTTATGTTTTAAAAGTTATTGGTAGAAACTCATCCATAGTGGAGCATGATGGTAAGATTCTCATGTTCCTTTCACTGGAAAATGCTCTCAGAATGCTGCTTTGGGGTCACAGAGCAGAACTACCACTAACAGCTCTCCTCCTGCATTTCACCAGGTTTTATTGCCTTCACGTCTCAGCACACACTTTCTTATTGATTTTTCATGTGGCCTGAACTCAAGATGGTTTTGTCCAGATGCTCTTTTATTTTTTTTAAAGAGAGAGAGAACACACGCACGAGTGGGGGATGGGGAGGGGGCAGAGGGAGAAGGAGAGAATCCAAAGCAGGCTCCACGGTCAGCATAGAGCCCCAGGCCATGCTCGATCTCACGACCCCCGCCAGAATCAAGTGGGACACGCAACTGTCTGAACCACCCAGTCGCCCCTCCCCAGATGCTCTATGTATTAAGAATTTTTTTTTTTTTCAGAGTGGCAGCCAAAAGATTGAAGGAGGGAGATATGATGATGGGGCAGCAAGTGGCCAGGTATTTGTGTGTCTCAGTGCTTGGAAAATATGTCTGTCCTCTACCTCCTGCTGGGGTCTCTCTCTACGACTCCTACAGTTTCTTTCTTTCTTCTTTTCTTTTTTAAAGATTTTATTTAGACAGCCCGGGTGGCTCAGCGGTTGAGCATCTGCCTTCTGCCCAAATTTATTTATTTAAATAAATTTAAATATTTTATTTATTTATTCATGAGAGACACAGTGAGACAGAGAGGCAGAAATACAGGCAGAGGGAGAGGCAGGCCTCATGCAGGGAGCCTGATGCGGGGCTCCATCCTGGGTCTCCAGGATCACGCCCTGAACTGAAGGCAGATGCTCAACCACTGAGCCACCCAGGCATCCCAGACCCCTATAGTTTCTTCATCCCATGGGGTTCACTTCAGTCCCTTTTAGGAACACCAACCATGTAGCATCACATCCCTTGAAAGAGGTTTCCCATGTCTTAATGTGCTTTATCTTTCAGAGTTGTGGAAAGTAAAAACTCAGCCTTCCCAGCAGGAACTGTGGTAGTGGCTTCTTCAGGCTGGACATCGCACTCTATTTCTGATGGGAAAGATCTGGAAAAGCTGCCTACAGAGTGGCCAGACACGGTACCAGTGTCTTTGGCTTTGGGAACAATTGGCATGACAGGGTGAGTTTCATGGGTGTATATTTCATTTGTTTAAATACCTGACATTCTGGTTTTCCAAAATAGTTTGTCCAGAATTTGGTCAACAAGAAGAGACTTGAGTCATTCTAGGCTCAGGGACTGGTTAGAGTAGATGATAGGACCAAGAAGGGAAGAGGATGGGCTAGAGTTAGCCTTGGACTGAAGGAAAGAGAAGGAAAATGAGGCTAGAGACCCCCTGGTCCAGAGAGCAGCAGTGAGGAGCAGCATGGGGCATGATCCTTCTCTAGCAGCTGGCAAATGGTAACACAGTGAACCAACTCCTGTCCCTGGAAGCATCTTGGCTTCATTCTTCACTCATCTCTGCCTCCATTTCAGAGTTTAAAGAGGGGAAAGGAATTCATTCTAGCTTGGCTTTTCTATTCTGTCTCATTCCCCACATTTCCTTACACACATCTGAATTTCCTGAGGTATAAAGGGATCTGAAGTTTAAATAACTGAAATGAGTCATAAATATGGTTTTGAACAGCCACTTAGCTTGACACAGACTTGAACTACTCAGGAGTTCCTTGGCCTTATCCCTCAAGAAGACTCCTGATCAGTTCATCCTGTCGCAGCTGCACTTAGGACCTCAAGTTTCCTCTTATGGCCTGGAGAAGCAAGGTCAATTGAATTCTTTTTGTTGGAGTTTCCCTCAAAAAAAACTTTTTTAGCCTGGAATTCATGAATTTCCTTTCTTTCTCTAAGTTGTATGATCTTTTCCTTCCTTCTTCCCTTCTTCCCTCTCTCACTGTTTCCCTCATTCCTTCCCTCCCTCCCTTCTTTTTCACACTTCAGAGGACTTCTAAAGAATGAAATGGAAATTCATACCTGAAACCATCAGCCTCTAGCCAAACCAGTCCCTGACACCCCAAATTCATATTGCACTCAGAATATGATTTCCTCAGAACTGCTGTGGCCAAGAGACAATATTGTGAGATTGGAGAATGCTCAATAGCTTCTTACTTTAATAAGAGGGTCTTCAACAGAATTATAGTGGTTCTGGGTCCTGCCTGCCTGCCTTGTACCCTCTACTAGTGAGCTCTTCCTCCCACCGTATTATCCCACCCGTCTCTCTCTAAATTGTGAGCCAGGTGGAGGAATGCAGGGGTGAAGGGAGACATGAGGAAACCTTGAAGCCAGTCTCCCATGACTTCGTTGGGGAGAGAGTAATCTGTAAAGTAGTAGGAGGTTTGAATCCTAAAACAGAGCATAATTTATTCGTTTGCGTGTGCGTCTCATTCACCTGTTCCAAGCCCCTGAGGACTGCACTTTTACTCCAAACAATCACCATTATTCTGGCGGTTCTCACTGATGGGGGAGGAGGAGTTATGCCTTGTTTCTCACCTCCTATGACACACCGCCCATTTCTTGAGCATGCCTGCCATTATGGACTACTTACCAGTGGGATGGGTCAACGCTTCAAGAACACTGGAACTTCTGCTGTAGACTATAAAAGAAATTGAACTCTGAAACCTAGGGTGTCGTATAGCTGTCCGGGTTCCAGAGATTTAACATTCCCCCCGAAGGTTACATTATTTCCTTCATTGGACCCCTGTTTTCTCTGTGAAGCTGAAGGGGTTCATGGGGTTCATGTGTTTTGCTCTCCAACGAAGCAATTTTGTTACTTAAATCCCCCTCAGGGACACCTGGATGGCTCAGCGGTTAAGCGCCTGCCTTTGGCCCAGGGTGTGATCCTGGAGTCCCAGGATCGAATCTCACATCGGGCTCCCGGCAGGGAGCCTGCTCCTCCCTCTGCCTGTGTCTCTGACTCTCTCTCTGTGTCTCTCATGAATAAATAAATAAAATCTAAAAAATAATAATAATAATGTCTCCCTCAGACCAAAGTGTGCCTTTACTTTTTCCTCTAAGATTTCTTTACTGTTGGCTTTTCCACCTTACCTCCTTTCCATTTTTAGAAGGATGTGATGTTACGGAAAGGCCTTGTGTATCCTAGCTCAGTATGTCTAATTAAAAGCTGGTTTTAGAATGTTCTAGGACAGGGATCCCTGGGTGGCGCAGCGGTTTGGCGCCTGCCTTTGGCTCAGGGCGCGATCCTGGAGACCCGGGATCGAATCCCACGTCGGGCTCCCAGTGCATGGAGCCTGCTTCTCCCCCTCTGCCTATGTCTTTGCCTCTCTCTCTCTCTCTGTGTGACTATCATAAATAAATTAAAAAATTAAAAAAAAAGAATGTTCTAGGACAGAGATTGGGGTTGGGAGGGCGGTCATGGGTGGAATGTCACAATCAGAAATGCACTTTCTCCCTCTCGTCTGAGGTTATGCAAACTTGCCTGGCACCGTCTGGCTTCAGCATTCATTAAGCCGATGGTTCTCAGTTGCTTACATTCATAAGAATCACCTCATCATATAACGTTCAGGTCTTCACGTCCCAGTATTTCTGAATCAGTGGGTCTGAGGTGGGGCCTGGGAATTTAAATTTTAATAAAACTCCCAAGTGATTCTGAGGCAGGTGGTGCTCCATCCAACTTTCGAAAAACACTGTGGGAATATTAGCTTTGGGGTCCTCAGAAAAAGTGCACATTTCTGTGCCTTTCACTGCCTCACCTTCAATGTTCAACTCTAATGGGTCCCCAGACATACTCAAAAGCAGATGTATAGTTTCTGTCTCATATAGAAATAATTTTACATGAACTTGTCTGAAATTTTGCAAGCGGCTTGGCAATCGCCATAGTGGATATAGATTTCACTGGCTCAGACTCGGGGTGCAAAGACATAACTTAACATTTTTCTACTACTCATCCTATCTCAAGGCTGCACCTTGGCTTGTGTAGTAAAACAGAGCCTCAGTTAATGAGTTACAGGGAAAAGCAACAAATCTATCCACGTATCTTTAATTCTCTTCCCTCAGACTAACAGCCTACTTTGGCCTCCTTGACATCTGTGGTGTGAAGGGTGGAGAAACAGTGATGGTTAATGCAGCAGCAGGGGCAGTGGGCTCTGTGGTGGGGCAGATTGCTAAGCTCAAGGTAAGTGTCTTCTGGTACCAAACATTGACTCAATACCCAGGGTGTGCACTGAGAATACAACAGTGAGCACAGCAGACCTTCCCTAGTGTCAGGGAGTGTAGTTTGGTGGGTCTTGTTTAGAAGTCAAAGATCCATTGACAATATAAGAGAGATTTCTGAAGAGTCACTCTCATTGTACCAATACAGTCTCTAGTCTCATCCTGAAAGTGATTTTCGGAATGCTCTCTAGTTCCTCTGATTAGACAGGATCAAGTCCAACACTTTAGCCCAAATCGAATAATAAGGGGACAGTCACCGGGAGAGCTGACAAGAGGGCTGAGATTCCCAGAGCTGGAGCCAAATTATAGTCTAAAGGACCACTGTCCCAAAAGATAGCATGGAAGTCACTGCAAGAGAAGCCCCAAAATAAACAAGAGAGTCAAATAAATAGATTGTCAAGCCAACAAGTTAAAACGAACAGCAAAGCACATAACCATAGACTGGGATCTATCGGTTGGTCAGAGGCGAGCTGAAGCTACAGTTGGGTATAAGCTGATTCAGGGACTAATTTCACCTAAGAGCCTATTGGCCCATTATGATATCTTCATAGATGTGGCTCAGCACATAGAAGGGTGTTCCTGGGGAAGCTGACCATACTAGACTGGGAAGGGGGGAGGTTGGTCCATGATTTTGGCTTATAATGGTTTCCATTTTTTCCTCCCCATTTAGGGCTGCAAAGTTGTTGGAGCAGCAGGGTCTGACGAAAAGGTTGCCTACCTTAAAAAGCTCGGATATGATGTTGCCTTTAACTACAAAACCATAAAGTCTTTGGAAGAAACTTTGAGAAAAGCCTCTCCTGATGGTTATGATTGTTACTTTGATAATGTGAGTGCAAATTGGGCTTAATATCTTACTTACTAACAAAGTACTATACAAGAGAATATGCTTCTAGAGCTTCCACCTAAAATATATGAAGAAAGTATGGGTGTCTTTAAAAAAAAAACAGCTTTATTGAGATAAAATTCGCCCATTTTTAAAGTGTTGAATTTAGTGGTTTTTTAGTATATTCATAGAATTATACAACCATCACCTCAATCAATTTTAGGATATTTTCATTATTCCCCCCAAAAAATCCTGTACTCATTTATAGTGACTCCTCATTTCCCCCAAAGAGTGGTCTTTTGTTACTGGCTTCTTACACTATACTGTAGCGTGTTTTCAGGTTCATCCGTGTGGTAATGTGTATCAGTGCTTCATTCCTTTTTGTGGCCAAGATATATTCCATTGTATGGATATACTACGTTTTATTTATCCATCCATGAATTGATGAGCATCTGGGTAATTTTCACTTTTTGGCTATTATACATAATGTTGCTATGAGCATGCACGATCAAGTTTTTGTATGAACGTATTATTTTCATTTTTCTTAGGTATAAACCTTTAAGTGGAATTGTTGGGTCACGTGGTAACTCCATATTTAACATTTTGAGGAACTGACAAAAATTTTTGCAAAATGGCTGCACTATTTTACATTCTCACCAGCAATATATGTTGGTTCCAATGTCCCTACATCCTCACCAACACTTACTATCTCTCATTTTTATTGTGACTATCCTCGTAGGTTTGAGGTAGTATTTCCACTGTGGTTTTGATCTTTATTTCCCTAATTGTTCATGATATTGGACATCTTTTTGTGTGCTTACGGCCATTTGTATATTTTTTGAGAAATGTCTTCAAATCTTTTGCCCATTTTTTCAATTGGCTTATTGAGTTTTAAGAGTCCTTCGTAAAGGTTCTGAGAAGTCCCTTATCACATATACTCAGTTCTCAATATTCCTGGTAGTTTGTTTTGTTGTGTTTTGTTTTATCAAGTCACCACAAACCCGGAGTCATTGCTTCTAGGGAAAGTATGTACATATATATACATGTTTCACCTTGATTACAATCTTAAATCCTAAAAACAACTCTTCCTACAGCTTCTATTTTCTTTATTTTTCAAAAGAGAAAGGAGTTCAGAAGTGGAAAGAAGCTTGCCTGAGGCTTACCCAGAAACCCATTCTTCAGAATTGGGATTCACACCCCAATCCAACCAGCCCCAGAGCTGGAGCTTTTTGAACTACTCTGCACTGCCCCCTATTGCCTTCCCTCCCTGGTAATCCCTCGGGAGAGCTGAAAAAAGAAAACAGAGCCTTGGCCTTTTTTTGACCTTAGCTGGGAACTTTGTGTCTCTTTCACTGCCTCTAGGCATGTCTCCAAATGGACAGGCAAGCTTGTGTTGATTTTGGGGTTATAAATAAATGTTAGCAAGTAAGTAGTCTCATTCTCAAATATGGAATACACTAATAAGGAGGATTGACTCTATATGATTTGCAATTCTTCTGTGAGTTGCCTTTCACTTTCTTTTTTTCTTTTCTTTCATTTTCTAGATAGTGAAAGACAAGTATCCTTTGAAGCACAAAAGCTTTAAATTTTAATGAAGCCCAATTTTTTTCTCCTGTTGTTGCTTAGGCTTTTGGTGTCCTGTCTAAAAAGGCCTTGCCTTATCCAAGGTCACAAAGATTTACTCCTATGTTTTCTTCTAAGAGTTGTATGGTTTTAACTCTTAAACGTAGGCCCATGATGCATTTTAAGTTAATTTTTGTGTATTGTGTAAGAAGGGGTCCAATTTCATTCTTTTCCATATCCAGTTATTCTGCACCATTTGTTGAAGGACTATTTTTTCCTCTTATTGCATTGTTTTGGCACTCTTGTCAAAAATCAATTGACCATAAAGTAACAGTTTATTTCTGGACTCTCAACTCAGTTCTACGGATCTATATTTCTGTTCCCACACTTTCTTTTTTTTTAATTTTTTTATTTATTTATGATAAGTCACACAGAGAGAGAGAGAGAGGCAGAGACATAGGCAGAGGGAGAAGCAGGCTCCATGCACCGGGAGCCCGACGTGGGATTCGATCCCGGGTCTCCAGGATGGCGCCCTGGGCCAAAGGCAGGCGCCAAACCGCTGCGCCACCCAGGGATCCCCCCACACTTTCTTAATACAGCTTTGTAGTAAGTTTTGAAATTGGAAAATGTGAGTCTTCCAACTTTGTTCTTGATGTGGCTTTTGAGTATTTATTCCATGCTTTTAGGTAGGAGCAATGAGATTATTGAATTGATCAGAGTATGTTCCTACTGTCAAAGAGAAATCCCAGCCTCTCCTATCTTTTCCAACTGCAATTTTCTGCGCTGCTGTGCTAATTCAATTAGGTGTTTTTTTACTTCTAAAATAAATTTTGTGAAATGATGGTTGTGACTTACTGATACTTCTGAATCTTCTAGTGCTTAGATTACTTAAAGTCAGTGATTTTTTTTTCTTCCTCTCTGTTTAGGTAGGTGGAGAGTTTTCAAACATTGTTATTCCCCAGATGAAGAAATTTGGAAGAATTGCTATTTGTGGGGCCATCTCGACATATAATAGTACTCGCCCACTTCCCCCAGGTAATAAGCTCATGCACATGATCACAGATGTAGAAAGACTAGACAAGGAGAAGATTTACAGACATGGTATAGGCCAGTGACTATCAAAATGTTAAGACTTCCTTATAATTCTTGATGAAATCGTCTTTATTAAACTAAAAATATGTAGTTTCATATATTTGTACCAAATAGCTTATATTACCTTTTTTGATATATAAAAATAACAATCTGAAAACAGACAAATGTTGATAATTTTAAAAGTTTTCGTTTTTTACCTGTTATTTTGGGTAAAGTTGTAAAAAGACATCTGATCTGATGTAGAAACAGAACACCTTGGTCTGGCTGGTGCAATATTAGGGTTCTTTAAGATATTGGAGACAGGGCAGCCCGGGTGGCTCAGCGGTTTAGCGCTGCCTTCAGACCTCCCTCTCCTCTCTCCCATCTCCACAGAGGTCCAAAAGCAGTGTCAGCTAAAGAGCTATATTCCTTGAGTCCTAATTCTCTGAGAGATGTTGTACAGGCCTCTTGTTATATGGATGGGAGATGAATGGCCAAGAGGACCAGGGGCTCTTTAAGTCCTATTCACCAGAGTCTCAAAGTCAGGTCTTCTGAACTCTTCATACTGAGTCCTTCTCTATTACTACAATTTTTAAAAAGATTTTTATTTTATTTTATTTGAGAGAGAGAGAGGGAGGGAGGGAGGGAGCTGGTGTGGGAAGGGGGAGGGCAGTGGCCAGGCTTGAGAATCTCCAGCAGACTCTGTGCCAAGTGCATGGGGCCCAATCCTACGACCCTGAGATTAAGACCTGAGTGGCAACCAAGAGTGGGTCACTCAATCCACTGAGGCACCCAGGCACCCTCCACAATTCTGTGTTGTTGATGAGATTACAGATTTACCTGTGGTCCAAAAAAAGGAGGAAAACAGAGCAAAAAGGAATTTTGGAGCGTGTCATCGGGATCTGGGATGATAACCATAAATAAATTGGGTATTCGTTCTGTGATAGGCTTCACTCATGCGAATGAAACCCTACAGCCCTGCTAGTTAACGACCCACAACTGCATTCAGACAAGTGAGCAAGAGTGGAAGGAGCTGGGAAAGGACAGCCTGTAGATTCCCTCTTGGTAGTGAAAAATCAAAGACACTACCTTCTCTAAGAAGACGACTCCAGGTGCAGTTGGCAGTCTTATTGTTAGGGACTTTTTTCCCCCTATATTTTTCTAACTGATGCTAAGCTAGAATCATGGGAAATCTGCTGCCTGGCCACTTGAGCAAAGCTCCAGGATGCATTTTCTTGACCATAGTCCCAATTAGGTACAGCCAAATATTTTGGGTCCAGTAACTTGATCTAGTCTTTTTAGCAATTAGAGTTTGGAAGTTCAGCTGCTCAGATAGGTCTTTGGGGCATCAGCTGGCCTTGTCCATCCGTTTTAGATGAGATCCTGCGCTGCCTCTGATCTCCAGAAATTCTAACATATTACATTGTTAGGATAGCTGAGGGGGTAATTAATTATTTCCCTGGCTTTAATGCCACATTAAAAGGCCACATTCTTTTTTTTCTGTTTGATTGATGGGTTTTAGCCTTTTTTAAGATTTAAATTCAGTTAATTAGCATATAGTGTATTATTAGTTTCAGAGGTGGAGTTCAGTGATTCATCAGTCTTATATAACACCCAGGGCTCATTCCATCATGTGCCCTCCTTAAAGCTCATCACCCAGCCCATCCACCCAGCCCCCTCCTCCCCAGCACCCCTCAATGTGTTTCCTATGATTAAGAGTCTCTCATGGTTTCTCTCTCTCTCTCTTTCTCTCTCTCTCTGATTTTGTCTTGTTTTACTTTTTCCCTCCCTTCCTCTCTGCTAAAACGTCACATTCTCATTGCTTCCAATAAAGAAACCATATTCCCATCAGGATGGATAAGCCCAGAAATAGTATTTCATCCTCTTCCAAGATGAGGAAATGAGGCTTCCAGTCCTTAACCCCAGAAGAAGTACGGTTGGCGTGGATCTTCTGAAGAAGCACTCCTTCTGCAAGAGCAACCTAGCGTTTGGACGTGCCGCTCTCTTGTGTCATCCTCATGTCTCACTCACAGGGTAGCCTGGTGCTTCTTCCAGGCTGGTGGTTCCCAAAGTGTGGGCCCAGTACCAGCAGCGTCACCATCTCCTGAAAACTTGTTAGAAATACAGATTCTTAGGATCTACTCCATATCCACAATCAGAAATTTCGGGGAAGGGCCAGAGACCTCTTTCTAGAAGCCCTCTGTGTGATTCCCATGCACACTACGTTGTGAGCCTCCTGTTTGCTCTACTCTTGGTATCTCAGAACGGCAAGGGCACGGGTGGTTAAAATTGCTGAGCCCCTTGACCTCTTCTTTCTTGGCTCTTAGGCCACGGTGGACACTAGATTTTTTTTTTTATATCTGCTTTGAGAAGAGAACAGGAGATAGGTCTATGCCACAGGACAACAGTAAGCCATAAAAGAAGAACACACTGAGCATCGGGAATATCAGGGTATTTAGGCTTGAGTCACACATTTTCACAGGTTCTCCTTTGGGGCCTCCTTCTGTCCTGCAGAACTGTTTGGGAAGTTTTCAGTGGGCCTTGCTCCTGGCATGTGAAGGCTGGACGTTCCCCGGCCGCCTTGCCTGTGTAAGGGCTCTGAGTGTGTGTCAGTCACGAATTAGCTCAGTTTTACGGCTCTACAACAGATTTATTGTCGTATAGTTCTGGAGATCAAAAGTCTAAAATGGTCAGCAGGGCTGAATTCTTTCTGAAGGCTCAAGAGGAGAAGCTGTTTCCTTGCCTTTTCCAGCTTCCAGAGGTTGCCTTTATTTCCTGGGTCATGGTCCCTTCCTCCATCTTCAAAGCCAGCAACACAGAATTTTCCAGTGTCTCTCTCTCTCTCTTTCACTCTGATCTGTGTTTCCATCATCCGTATTTTTTCCTACTTCTGACTTTTCTGCATCCCTTACAAGGACCCTTGTGATTATATTGGGCTCCCCTGGATAATACAAAATCGTCTCTTCACCTACAGGCTCTTGACTTGATCATACCTGCAAAGTCCCTTTGCCATGTAAGGAAAGGCATTCACAGGTTCTGGGAGCGAAGATACGGCCGTCTTTGGGGACCATTACTTTGCCTACCACAGAGGCCCCTGTGTCTGATCCACAGGGATCAGAAAAGAGTGGAGAAATCTAGAACAGTGACGTGATTTGTACTGCTTGTGTTTTCACCAGGGCCACCTTCCTGGACCCTGTCATCTAAATGTGTCCTCCTGTTCACAGGCCCACCCCCGGAGAATATTATCTATCAGCAGCTCCGCATGGAAGGGTTCATTGTTAATCGCTGGCAAGGAGACGTCCGCCAGAAGGCTCTGAAAGACTTGCTGACATGGGTCATAGAGGTAACGGGCTCCAGAGCCACTGTCTTGGTTGTACACTAGAATCTCATTCCCTTTCTTTTTTTTTTTTTCTCCCTCATTCCCTTTCCACACAATAGGTTCCATCTCCACCGCAGACACAAGTCTCTCGGTTTCCCCCTTTATTTTTTTTTCTAAGTTTTTTTTTTTTAGAGAAAGTTTTTTTTTTTAAATTTTTATTTACTTATGATAGAGAGAGAGAGAGAGAGAGAGAGAGAGAGAGAGAGAGAGACAGGCAGAGGGAGAAGCAGGCTCCATGCACCGGGAGCCCGATGTGGGATTCGATCCTGGGTCTCCAGGATCGTGCCCCGGGCCAAAGGCAGGCACTAAACCGCTGCGCCACCCAGGGATCCCTAAGATTATTTTTTTTTAAAGATTTTATTTATTTATTCATGAGAGACACGCTCAGAGAGAGAGAGGCAGAGACACAGGCAGAGGGAGAAGCAGGCTCCATGCAGGGAGCCCGACGTGGGACTCGATCCCAGGTCTCCAGGATCAGGCCCTGGGCTGAAGGCGGCGCTAAACCACTGAGCCACCCGGGCTTCCTGGTTTCCCCCTTTAGAACAAAATCCCAGAGTGTTGTTCACACTCACTGTCTGTAGTTCCTCTCTTTCCATTCTTTCTTAAACCCACATAATCAGGCTTTTACACTCTTGCCAATCCACCAAAATTGCTTTTGTCAACATTGACGGTGTCCTCACACTGTGAACTGCAGCGGTCAGTTCTTAGCATCACTTGGCTGTGGGGAGTGCTTGACAGAGGTGATCCCGCTCTCCTTGGGCACTTTCTTCCCCTGGCTCTTGGTTTTCCTCACAGATTCGTCCTCCCCAGAGGATCTCCTCCTCTGTTAGCTTCTTTTCTTCTCTCCAAATTAATAGTAGAGTGTCCCAAGGGCTGGGACTGGGCTTCTTTTCTTCTCCACCCACAGTCTGCCCATCCCTTACTTAGCTCAGCCAGGCTCTTGGCTTTAAATATCATCAGTGTGCTGACAGCTTCTAAATGTCTGTCTCCAGCCTGGATCTCTCCCCTGGGCTCTCAGCCGCTCAACAGCTGCACTTGAATGTGTAAGACACATCTTCCACTCAATACGTCAAAAACTAAATATGTCTTGATCCTTCCTGCCAGAGCCATTCCATATACAGACCTCACCATCTCAGTTACGGCACTTCTATCCTCCTAGTTGCTCAATCCAAAAACCTTGAAATCATCTTTGATTCTTTTCTTTCTCTCATGCCCACATCTCATCTGTTGGGAAATTCTGGGTGGCTCAACCTTCAAGCTACCCGCAGGATCTGATCAGCTCTCCCACGTCCTCTACTGCCGCCCTGGCCCAGGCTGCCATCTGCTCTGGCCTGGATATTACAAGAGCCTCTGTCCGACCTCCCGACTGCCCCAGCAGCTGCCAGGGTGATCTTTTTAAAGCATAAATCAAGCCCTGTCATTCTTAGGCTCCAAACCCTGCAAAGTGCTCCATTTCACTTAGAATCAAACCTACAGGGCTGTACAGGATGTGACCTCCGTTACCTCTCTGATTTCATTTCTTAGTGTTCACCCCCTCGCTTGCTCTGCCCATCCCCTCCCCACTGCCCTCTGTCCCTCTAACTGCTTCCTTAATTTGATCATTTCCCTCAGGTCTTTGCTAAAAACTACCTTCTTAATGAGGCAACTTTTAAAATGGTCCGATTTTATTTTATTTATTTATTTTTTTTAAAGATTTTACCTGTTTAGGGGATCCCTGGGTGGCTCAGCAGTTTAGCGCCTGCCTTTGGCCCAGGGCGCGATCCTGGAGACCCGGGATCGAATCCCACGTCGGGCTCCGGGTGCATGGAGCCTGCTTCTCCCTCTGCCTGTGTCTCTGCCTCTCTCTCTCTCTCTCTGTATGACTATCATAAATAAATAAAAAAAAAATTAAAAAAAAAAAGATTTTACCTGTTTATTCATGAGAGACACACACAGAGAGAGAGGCAGAGACACAGGCAGAGGGAGAAGCAGGCTCCATGCAGAGAGCCTGACGTGGGACTCGATCCCGGGTCCCCAGGATCAGGCCCTGGGCTGAAGGCAGGGACTAAGCGCTGAGCCAACCGGGCTGAAAAATGGCCCTATTTATTTATTTATTTACTTACTTACTTACTTACTTACTTATTATTTATTTATTTATTTATTTATTTATTTATTTATTTATTTATTTATGGCCCTATTTTAAATTGAAATCCTCTCTCTTTTTTTTTAAGATTTAAAATTTTATTTTTTTGAGAGCGTGCGCACATGAGTGTGTGTGCGTGTGAGTGTGCGTGCATGCGAGCCGGGGTGGGGGTGGGGAAAGGCAGAGGGGGAAGGACAAGCAGACTCCCGCTCAGGCAGGAGCCCATTGAGGGGCAGGATCCCAGGATCCTAAGATCACAACCCCAGGATCATGACCTGAGTGGAAACCAAGGGTCAGATGCTTAACCAGCTGCGCCCCCCAGGCATCCCTGCAATCTTCCTTTGTTCTTGATCCTCCTTAGCTTACTTTTACCCTTAGCAATTATCATCTTTTAGCATGATGCATACTATAATTCACTTATATTTATTGCCCATCTCCCTCTTGTGAGAATGTAACCTTCACGAAGACAGTAACATTCGTGCATTTTGTTTTCTTTTTTTTTTTAAAAGATTTTATTCATTTACTCATGAGAGACACACAGAGAGAGAGGCAGAGACACAGGCAGAGGGAGAAGCAGGCTCCATGCAGGAAGCCTGAAGTGGGACTCGATCCCAGGACTCCAGGATCACACTCTGGGCCAAAGGCAGGTGCTAAACCGCTGAGCCACCCAGGGATCTCCCTCGTGCATTTCGTTTTCTGACGTACCGCAGCATCCAGAATAGTGTCTGGTTCAGTGTCAACACTAGACGAATATTGTTGAATAAATGTTGGAGGGGCATATCTTTGTGCCGCAGCTCTTCCAGGTCCAAGATTGGTGTCTTCTTGTAGCCATGGCTTCAGAGCCACAGGAAGACACCCATCCCCTTGTCCTGTGCTATGATATACTCTCCCAGAACTCTGAATAACCAAGGGGCATTACTCTAGTTTTAGAGGAGAAAGGTGGTATTTCACCTCTAAACTCCTGGCTGTGTCATCGTTTCCCAATTCACAGAAATAGATTGCTCCCCAGGCAGCCACTGGAGATTGGTGTTTTTCCCAGGCTAACGCTTGGAGTGCTGAGCTGGGCTCTTTCCAGGAAGCTGAGAAGAGCTGAATGATTTTTAAGTCCCCAGTGTGGAGCCTCTTTGTCCCTCTTGGTGAAATCTGATCTAGCCCTCCCATGATCACAGCTGAGGACAAGAAGCCACCGTGCTGGTGTTCCTAATGCCTCCTTCTAACAGAGTGGGCCAACGGTAGTTTTGTTTTCAGTAACTAGTGACTTGGCCTAATTTCTCTCCCATCTACTTATTTTTTTTCCTCATCTCTTCCCCTTCTGAAAAATATACTTTTCTTTTAGAACAGTTTTAAGGAAACAAATCACAAAATTAGTACAAAGACTTTCCATATGCCCTGTGTTCTGTACCTTAACCTAATGTATTATTAACGCTCTACTTTTAACTTTTAAACTTTCAGTTATAGCTTTTAACTCCTTTCCAGGTTCTTTGCCTCCTTTATTTTACCTTTTTTAAGATTTTATTTATATATTCATGAGAGACACAGAGAGAGAGGCAGAGACACACAGGCAGAGGGAGAAGCAGGCTCCATGCAGGGAGCCCCATGCAGGACTCCGTTCTGGGACCCAAGGATCATGACCTGAGGCAAAGGCAGATGCTCAACCACTGAGCCACCCAAGTGCCCCTCTTTGCCTCTTTAGAACAGGAAGGAGCTGGCGCTTTCTAGTCAAGAGTTCAAATCCCTGCCCTCCATACATATTAATTAGTGGAGTGACCCCAGGCCAATAGCGCCTCCATAAATCCATCACGAGGCGTAGGCCATCGCTGGAATACATTAGGAAAGTAAGTGATATCAGCTAACTCCAGTCTCCACATAAGATCCCTTAAAAAACAAAACAAAAACCCTTGAAAACATAAATTAGTCCCACTTAGTAGACTGTCTTGTAGTAGAAAGGAAAATGAAAAACCGTCACTAAATGAACCCTTCCCTCCCACACTCCAAAGAGAATGTTCAACATATATTGAAAGAATCTGGGCTTGACGGGAGGACAGATTATTAGACTGCCATGGTATTTACATTTGCTGAACAGGCTCTTCCTCTTCAGGGGTCAAAGAGGTAAGGATGCTACGTCCTGAAGCTACTGGAAGAATTAAAGCAGATAATCCCCTGGAATGGGGCCCCTTTCTCCATCTTCCACATCTTCTGAGATCACTGCATTATTAAATTTTTGCATGTAATTTACTTAGAAATTGCTTAATCATTTCCTGGGACATTCTTATTATACTGTGACCTAACGCCTATTATTAAATTGTTCGGTGTACTCTGTCGATCACGCCCCCAGACTGACTCTAAGGTCACGGAGGACAGAGCCTCCATCTTAGATTTCCAACCTGCCTGCGGTGTAACCCGGTAAGTGTGTTGCTATGATGGGAAGAGTGTATCAGTTAGAATATGAAATTAATCTGTGATGTTTGTTGTTGTTTTGATACAGGGTAAAATCCAGTACCACGAATACATCATTGAAGGATTTGAAAACATGCCAGCTGCATTTATGGGAATGCTGAAAGGAGATAATTTGGGAAAAACAATAGTGAAAGCATGAAAAAAATGACACATGGAATCTAGAAATCATTTGGATGATGACTTAATTTCTTTTTAACCATTTAATAAAAAATATATACTACCTTCATTATCTAAGAAATAGTCATTGTAATGAGTTTGATCTACCTTATGAAACACATTTAAGTGGTATGTAATTAGAACAGGGGTGAAAATTACATAGTGAGCAACAACCAGTCACCTCACTCCCTGCTATGCTCCTTCTGGGTTATGGTACAAAATAATGGTTTAGAGTCAAAAGTTAACTGCTTCTGTGACTTTAGAGTTTTGATTTTTTTTCCTCTGATCTGTAAAGTGAGGATAGTAACATCTGCTCTATATACGTATTATAATTTACTTCAAATACCAGCATGGGTGTGCCCTGGGGGGCTGCCATTAAGTGTCCAACTCTTGACTCCAACTCAGGTCATGATCTCAGGGTTGTAGGATGGAGCCCCATGTCAGGGTCCACGCTCAGCAGGGAGTCTGCTTGAGGATTCTCTCTCCCTCTGCCCTTTCCACCTCACTGCACAAGCTCTCAAAAAAATAATAATAAAATAAAAAAAAATGGGCAGCCCCGGTGGCCCAGCAGTTTGGTGCCACCTTTAGCCCGGGGTGTGATCCTGAAGACCTGGGATCGAGTCCCACGTTGGGCTCCCTGCATGGGGCCTGCTTCTCTCTCTGCCTCTCTCTTTCTCTCTCTCTCTGTCATGAATAAATAAATAAAATTAAAAAATAGGTTTTAAAAAAATTTAAATAAATAAATAAATAAATAAAATAAATAAATAAATAAATAAATAAATAAATAATAAATCTTCAAGACAAAACAAAACACCAGCATAATGCCTGGCCTGTATTAAGTACACAGTATTAGCCACCTCCCTGCAGAAATCACTGAATTTGAAGCCATCAGGTTACCACTCTATTGCTTATTACATGAGAAGAAATAAACATTGCTATTGTGTGGGGGTCTCAGGGCAGCCCATACTGCTCCTCCGTCGTGGAGTCTAACACATGACAGACCAAGGAAGGGACACAAAAGCTACAAAAAGGTAGCACATGGAATTATAAGCCTATAAAAATGTGTGAGACTTATTATTTATTCATGAGAGGCAGAGACCCAGGCAGAGAGAGAAGCAGGCTCCCTTGGGGAGCCCAATGTGGGACTCGATCCCAGGCCCCCGGGATCATGCCCTGAGCCTAAGGCAGAAGCTCAACCACTGAGCCACTCAGGAGCCTCTCCCACAAACACTAAAACATTACTGAGGAACACAAGAGACTTGGCACATTTGGGAAGGACCATGCTTTTGGACGGGAAGATTCAGAATTTTAGCTGTCAATTCCGTTGATCATTTCTGCCTCCAAATAGAGTAGGGGTTAAGTCAGACTACAGTGAAAAAATGGGAGAAATATGTGAGTATGTGAGTGTGTGTGTGTGTGTGTGTGTGTGTGTGTGTGAGAGAGAGAGAGAGAGAGAGAGAGAACCCTCTGGAAGGATGAAATAAACTGATAACATGATTTGTCTCCAGGGCGAAGAACTGGGAAATGCCTGAAGGGCAAGGATAAGAAAGACACTTTATACTATATAACCTTTTGTACCTTTTGAATTCTAAACCTTACAAATTATTTATCTGCTATTAAAAAATACAATTAAAAAAATAAAAGCTCCTGCCCTCCTGAATCCCCATTCCATATGGGGAAAGTAAAACATGTGTGAGATAAAACTCAGGCAAGTGTGAGGGTGCCCCCACCCAAGATGTGTGCCTCTGGTGTTTTTGTTTGTTTTTATTTATTCATGAGAGACACAGAGAGAGAGAGGCAGAGACACAGGCTCCCTGCAGCGAACCTGATGTGGGACTCGATCCCAGCACCCCGGGATCACAACCTGAGCCAAAGGTAGATGCTCAACCACTGAGCCACCCAGGTGCCCCTGTATGATTCTATTTATGGGCAATGTCCAGAACAAACAGGCAAATTTAGACATAGTAGATTAGTGGTTGTATGGATGGGGCAGGGAGGAGTAGGAAGTGAGGGCTAGAAGGTATGGAATTTATTTTGGGGGAGAGAAAAATATTCTTGAAATACAGTGGTGATAGTTGCACATCTTTGTGACGATGCTAAAACCACTAAATTGTACAATTGAAATAAATGAAGTTTTGCAGCATTATTCATGGATAGTCAAGGTATGAAAACAACCTAAGCGTCCATCAGTGGATGAACGGATAAAGAAAACACACACAAATATCTTTCAGCCTTAGGAAAGGAAATTACCATTTGCAACATGGATGAAACAAGGACATTATGCTAAGTGAAATAGGTCAGTTAGAAAAAGACAAATACTGTGTGGTGTGGTATCATTTATATGTGGAATCTAAAAAGAAAGAAAAAAGTCAAATTCATAGAAACAGAGTAGAAAACTAGTTGCCAGGGCTTGGGGGTGGGGAAGATAGGGAGAGGTTGGTGAAAGGATACAAACTCAGTTACAAGATGAGTAAGTTGAGGGGGACGCCTGGGTGGCTCAGTGGTTGAGCATCTGCCTTTGGCTCAGGTCGTGATCCCGGGGTCCTGGGATCGAGTCCTGCATCATTGGGCCCCCCACAGGGAGCCTGCTTCTCCCTCTGCCTATGTCTCTGCCTTGCTCTGTGTCTCTCATGAATAAATAAATAAAATCCTTAAAAAAAAAAGTTCTGAGGACCCAGTGTATAACATGATGAATATAGTTGATAACACCGTATTGTATAATTAAAGTTTGCTAGTAGAACTTAAATGTTCCCATCAAAAAAAGGTAAGTATGTAAAGTTTAGGATGTGTGAGTTAACTCTGGAGGGGGGGATCATTTCACAATGTATATCGAATCATCACTTTGTATGCTTTAAATGTCTTACAATTTTGTCGATTTTACCTCTATAAAGCTGAAAAAAAGAGGTAAAATTTTGTGATGTGAATTATATCTCAGTAAATCTGTTATAAAAAAATTAAGAAATACGGGATCCCTGGGTGGCGCAGTGGTTTGGCGCCTGCCTTTGGCCCAGGGCGTGATCCTGGAGACCCGGGATCGAATCCCACGTCGGGCACCTTGCATGGAGCCTGCTTCTCCCTCTGCCTGTGTCTCTGCCTCTCTCTCTCTCTGTGACTATCATGAATTAAAAAAAAAAAATTAAGAAATACATGTAACCCCAAAGAACATTGTATGAAGGCACCTATCATTTAAAGGAACTTTTATTGACAGCGCAGGGGGAAAAAGGCACAACTGCTTTCCTTCAAAGGGTACCGAGGACACCTACAAAGATTTGGGAGGTGGAGGCATCAGATACTCTGCAAGTGGGGAAAAAATTGCGGAGCTAAAAAGACAGCGCTTGAAAATATGTGTAAAAAGCAGTTTGGCCCACAATGGCACTCCTACCCTTCCCTCCATTACCCCCCACGGAAAACTGAAATAGTCTTTCACCAAGTGGAACCTGAGAGGTTAACTTGGGTCCCCTTGCCCTGGAGGAAGGCAGAAATGAGGTGTCAGGCTGAAAACAGGTTAAGTGGAAGTCTGTATAAGGTGGAGTGAACTCCAACTCCCATCCTGCCCTGATGCCTTCTTCCACCTCATCCACAACAGCCACGTGTATAGCCCCTGGCAGATGAGCTCCCTCTCTGGAAAACTACAGATCCTTCTGGAGAAATTACACTGCTCCAAGGATAAATGACAGACACTAACCTTTGGGGTCCTTAGAGTGAAAACTCAGTGAACACCCAATCATCCTGTGAAGCCCACAAGTTAACCTGCTGCTCCCATGTTCTCAGGCTTCTAACCCAGAGACCCTGGACTTCCAGGTGGAAACACTGATCAACAGACTCTGGATTGCCTCCCTTAGGAATAGAAGGTATGTGGGGTGAAGGGGAGGGGGTGGTGGAAGGAAAGGACAGAGTGATTAGAAGTTGTGGCTGGAGCAATCCATGCTCACAATGAGGGGGAACCCAATTCTGGCCAGTGGAAGAAGAGAGAAGGGATTTCTAAGCCACATTCCCAGTTTCTTGGTTAGAGCATTCTTAGCACCATAATCTTCTTTTCACAGTGCCTCTAGGCACAGTTAGCTAAGAAATACCTAATTGTCCCATTTGCTAAACAGGCCCAAACGATAGGAGTTGGGGGCTTTGCCCATTAGCGATAGCTGTGTTTTCCTAAAATTTAAAATGTCCTATGAAAACTCTCTACAGTAAACCTGGGACACGTTGGCACCCGGTGGGGACCCACGGTTCTAAGCTGTTTCCAGGTTAGTGTTTAAGTAAAATTTACATTGTAAAATGCTCTCGTTCTTCTTTCTTTGCCTCTGAGGCCTCCAGATGGCCTACCTACAAAAATGTTGGAATGCAACAAAATGCAGGAATGCAACAAAATGCAGGAAGCCTGTCTGGGAAATTAACTGTTACTCAGTTAAGCCCCCTTTGATCTGTTGGGCTCCCTGGCTAGCAGCACTGCTTACTCTGACTCTGTGTTGTCCAATGTGGCAGCTACATAAGGCTGCTGAGAACCGCAGGCATGAAGGGTGCCACATTTTGAGATTAAAAAACAGAAGCAGAGTCAACATTTTCCCATTCAACACAACTTTTATTGTTTTCATAGAACTACAATTCACTTTAACTGTTGCATCGCATAGGATGTTGCTGTACTGTAATGCTTGTACAGGAACGTGCATTAGTTCTAGTATTACAGATAAACACTTCACCAATCTAGGCAGTATCAACAGATTGATTTGGTTCAGATGATTTTCTTCTATGCACTGAGATAACATCACGATGTGTTTACTTGGATATTTTATGTGGTTAGCACAAGTTCAAGTATACCAAGGTAGACAGCACAAGTTACAGTGATACCTATGCAAATCATAATCATCAACTGAGATGCTATTTTAATTATAATTATTTTCTAGATTAAAAAAATATGGGAAAATATTTAAATTTTAAATGAAGGCATATTACTGAGGCAGAATTCAGTTCACTACAGAAGCCAGTACTACAACTAGTACAATCAAGAGAAAAGGGGACGGGGGTAGAGTGCACATTCGATGATGAATGGCGATTGCAACTTATTGCAGGCACAGC